GTGCAAACGGTGGTAGCTGTAAAGCGTGGCTCGGTGTAAACGGCTTGGGGGAAGGAAAGCATGCTGGTGTACATTCGGCATGTCATGCAGATTTACGCAGCCTTGGCGGAAAGTACGCTTGCATCAGTGCCACGGACAAAGCGAATCACGTGGGACTTAAACCTGCGCAAACATCCACTTTATAAGACTTCATCGACTTCATCAGAGCAGGGCCTGAGCCCACACATTGGACTGTAAATATGGACACAAATAGCGACTGTCAGACTTCTTTGGGACAGGGCCTGAATCGGACCGGGGTTCGCATGTACAAGCGGAAGACGGATCGTGTGCGCATGATCGTTTGTACACGCAAATTTTCACTACTTTTCTAGATCAGGATGAAACGACCATCGAGGAAGAGTCCGGCAAGCTTGTTTGGATGCAGCGCAGACCCCCACCCCATCCCCACCGCAGATGATCCAGATTCTGTGTGCGCAGTTGATCCAGATTCTGTGTGCGCAGCGCAGATGATCCTCTGTCCCGTGAATCCGTTCAAATTATTCTTACCCTTGACATAAACCAGCATAAATGCATCAACATCGGCTGGAAAACTTCTTCGGGGTGGGACCGGGACGGTGTGACTTGAATCCACACAATTTTGGTGTAAAACTGCACCTCTAAGCTTTTCCCCGAGAGCGCCTGCGAAGGGTTCTTCGTAAAAAAACATCTGCAGAACTACACCTCCTCTACATCTCCACATCTTCACCTCTGCGCAATCACGTTCTCACCTATATCTCTGCTCATCTTCACATCTGCGCATCCACATCTCTGCTCATCTTCACATCCTCGCATCTACATCTCCGCTCATCTTCATCTTCACACATCTACATCTCTGCTCATCTTCACATCTGCGCATCTACATCTCTGCTCATGTTCACATCTGCGCATCTACATCTCTGCTCATTTTCACACCCTCACATCTACAGCTCACATCTTCACCTCTCGCTCTTCTTAACTTTCCCTCTTTGCCGCCGGACCGCCACGAAACGCAACCCTCTGTGGAGATCGTGCGTGTCGAGTGCGCGAAATGCAGGCAAGAGTGCGATTTGGTTTTGGCGCGGGCAACCCTCTGCGGAGATCGTGCGTGTCGAGGGCGCGAAATGCAGGCGAGAGTGCG